TAATATGTAGATATAGAATGTACTCATGACAAAACAGTTCAAAGGCTGGAAAGGAAAAATGAAAGTATACTATATAAGATTCTTACATGAAGTAGTATAGAATTACTTGAAGGTAGACTGCTATAAAGTATATCATAAACTCTAAAGCAACCACTGTAATAACACAACTAAAGTTGTAGCTAGTAAGCCAACAAAAAAGAAAAAGGTAATTATTTAAAATATTCAATTTATTCCAGAGAAAGCAAAGGGGAACAAAGAACAGATGGGACAATTAGAAAATAAATAGCAAGATAAGAGATTTAAATTCTAACATATCAAAAGTCATAAGGTGTAAATGGTATAAATAATACCAATTAAAAGGCAGATACTGTCAGATGGATAAAGAGTAAGACTCAACTATATGCTACCTACAAGAAAACCATTCTAAACATAATGACACAAATAGGTTATTTGCAAAACCATAATAATAACTATATACATATGTCTATATACAGACGTGTGTGTGTGTGTGTGTGTGTGTGTGTGTGTGTGTGTGTGTGTAACGCTCTGAACTCCAGATTCAAAACCCTCAATGGAAACTATTTTCAGAGACCCAGTGTAATAAAGGAAAGGAAGCTTCTCAGAAAAGATACACTTTTTTGCTTTTCTGTCTTTTCTCAACTAGAGACTGAATTTGTACATATTCCTTCCCTGGATCAGGTACAGTATCAATGCATTTCTATCTAGGTTCAATATTTACTTTGGTAACATAAGTTGTTGGAGCAGCTGCCTGAAGCGTGGGTGGCCTGGGGATCCCAGTTGTGGCTGGTATCTGAAGTGGGGGCAGTTTTATTGGGGACTATGAAATCTAATGCTAACTCTGGGTGTTCAAAGTCAGAATTGAACTGCAGTACACTGCATGAGACTGAAACAGAATAGATTTAAAAATTGATTCTATAATATTATATGCCTAGACATAATCAAAATAACTTACATAGAAATACACTATTAAAACTGTATTTAAATGCCAAAATCAGCTGATAAAAATATTCAAATCTCAGTTCAACACTTGTGATTAAAAATAACCATGACTCCTTTATTACGGGGTCCATCTCAAAGTAAAAGACATACTACAAATTGCCATGAATAAAATCTCACATATTATGATTAATCAAATCTGTGGAGGTTGGAAAACTTTTTTTTTAATGAACAAATAAATATAATTGCACTCAACAACCAGAGAATACACATTCTGCATAAACAAAATATTTACAAAAATTGACAATATATCATGCTATAACGCAAGTCTTCATAAATTTCAAATAATCTGCATCATTTGAACCACATTCTCTGACTACCAAGTACTTAAGTTAGAAATCAGTTACAAAAGGAACATTAAAAACCTGAATACATTTGGGAATGAAGAGATATATTTCTAAATAATTCACTGGATGAAGAAAAAGATACTACTTTGAACCAAATAATAAAAAAAACCACTATGTACCTAAACTTATGGGGTTCAACTAAAATGGTACTCAGAAGGATTTTATTGCCTGTCTTAAATGGCTACAATGGAAAAGAAGGGTAAAAATTGATAAAGTAAAATCCAACTCAAGAAGTTAAAAATTCAAAAAAGAACAGATTTAAAAAAAAAAAAAGTTTGGCAATGATAAGGGCAGAACTTAATAAAAATAAAAACAAACAAACAAAAAGGTTTAAAGCTTCCAAAAATTGTTTCTTTGGAAAAAGTAATAAAATTGAGAAACCTCTCCAAAGATTGGAATACTTTTAATAACCATGATATGTACAGGTAGGCCTTCCTTTAAGAAATATGATCAGAAAGCCTATCTTATAAAGCAGATGAATTATAAGGACATTTTGAATTAAATTTAAAAGTATTCACACTATACCAAAGAATTCACCACTGATTTTAAAAGCCTATCTGGCACAATTATAATGTGATTTTGCTACCACATGTAATTAAATGAGAAACATATATAAGGCAAATGGCAAGTAATGACAAAATGAGAGTTCTCCTCTATACGACCATTTACTAATAGCACCAACTCAGTTGTCATCACAGGAGGTATAAGGATCTCCCTGGGTCAGTCTCAAATGCATTGATTTACTCCTATAACTTATCTGATCAACTCAGTGGCAAAAGCTGAGGTATTTCAAAGTGCTAATCATTATAAGAACTACTAGTATAAGCAACAGCACAGGTTAACCAGTAACCTTGACTTCTTTTCTATTAAAATAAGGCTACTTCCTCTGAATGAAAATTTGATGAGTACCTATTAAGAGTAATGAAATGTACAAGAAAGAGTCTCTTCAGTAAGGGAGCTCAGGCAGAGTCTAATATGTACACAAACGTAACTATTATATATACAAAGCATGTATATGCGACTACCATCTTTTTGTTGATGGTTACTATGCATCAGACAGTATATTAGGTTTTTGTAATACATTCATACATTCATTAATCCTCATGCTATAAAACTGGGTTGAGGAGGGGAGTTACCTAGAACTGTGATCTTTAAAAAACTTCATTTTTGTTTAAGTGGTGAAATTCCCATACCCAAGCAGGTAAGTAGATCAAAATGCAAAAGGTCAAGCACTTTACTCAACCACCTACATGGTTATAGCAGCAAATATAAAGAATGAGAAATCAGGTTTTCTGTTTTTGGAGTTGTTCCTGAAATTAATCCATATGCTTTTTTTTCATGAAATGGGGTGCATTTAGGAACAGTTTCTATAACAGTTGTTTTTCCCAAACATTTGCTCTACTTTGGCCTAATTATCTAGTTGTATGCAGTGTGAAAAATCACATTTTTCTCATGCAGTTGTGGATAACTTGATATTTTCAGAAATAATATCCATCATATAATTTTTAATTAAGTGACTTGAGAGGTATCACCAACCACATCACATCCTAAATTGGAAAGCTCAATATCTTTACCCTTGGTTCCATCCAAACAGACACCAAATCCTGTCAATTCCATCTCTGAAATAGCCTCTGCATATGACATCAACATTTTACAGGCCATTAGTCTAATCTACTTCCTCAAAAAAAAAGAAATGTTGTATATTTGGTTCTAATTTTAAGAACTATATATGTTACAGAGATTTTTATATACCAACATTTTTTACTTTTAAATGTGCTGGTTATTTTGCTTTAGAAACAAAAACTGGTGTTTCTCTTCCACTATTTTATATAATATTAAATGAACTGATTATCAAAAATTCTGTAATAAACTCATAAAGAAACCCAAGATTACTTAACGATACTGGGTGTGGTAGATTGTTTACAAAAATGCCCATAATTATTACCCTCCCTGTATTATTAATGCCCCTTTACAATGCTGTTCTTACTGTCCAAAGGTAAGTTCTACTGACTTCATGAGCAACCGAATGTGGTGGAAGTGACACTGGGCCAGTTCTAAGCCTTAGCCTCAAGAGACCTTGAATATGTTTCATTTTCTCTTAGAACGCAGGCTAGCCTGCTAGACCACATGGAGTGAAGAGAAGCCATCCAGCTGAGGCCATCCTAGGTCAACTAGCCCGTACCTGACATGTGGCTTATTACTATAGATACATGAATAAGCCTAGCAGAAGAAATGGCCAACTCAGCAACTTGAATTATTTTGGATTATTCCTTAGTCTCTTTTTGTAATCTATACAATTGACAAATACACATTTTTAATAGATTATATCAATAATTTTCTGCATTTCCTATTAACTTATACTCAATGGGATGGTATTCAAAAAATAATAAAATCTAAAAGTCAATTGATTCTGATTGAGGAAGGGCAAATCCATATTAATAAAATTCTGAATTTTGGTCTGTTTAAAAAAAGTATTAATTTCAACTATGTACAGGGAATTAAGTTATAAGTGTTAAAAATATATACCCATATGGACTTATAATTACTCATATAAAATTCACTTGTACAAGAAACAACTAATATTTTTAAACAGCTTTTTCCTAAAATCAAACAAAACTATATCTACAATCTTCATTCATTTATCAAGCACGGAATTAGTAAGTTTTAAGCATATGCTACATGCAAGGCTCTGTTCAAGATGTTCAGAATATAGTGGAGAATAAGAAAGTACAGATGTCTATGATCTAGTTTATATTCCAGGAAATCTTGCTAATATTGCTAAATTTCTAAGCAAAACCTTTTGAAAATTCAACTATTAAATGTATTTAAAGATTGAATTAGAATTTAATTTTAAGGCTAAAATGTCTAATATTTTATCCCATAGAACCACACAAAAATAAGCAATAATTAGCACTGATTATGAACAAAAGCCTCTTGGAACTATTTCCCAATCACCATGATACACAACACATTTAATTATTCCAAAAGTACACATAAATGATATAGAACTAACATATACTAAAGATAATACAATTAAGTAACATTAAGGTCTACTGCTCAGAATAATCAGGAGACTGCATATTAAGCATAAATTTCATTTTCAGAGCTTTGGTACTAAAACATTCAAAAATTTTGGAATGTCCCAAAAAATTGCCATAATTCTTATTTATAAGTCATTTAATTTTAAACATTCATCATTTTCATAGCTTCTGTGGCTTCAGACCTAACATACATTAGTTAAAGGAAATTACTACTTGAAAGTAGCTTTCCAGTTTGATAGTTCCCAAGTGTAATACACAAGGACACAACACTATTTTGTAGCTCTGATAGTTCATCAGCATTGCAGCTAACCTACTACATGTATAGAAAAGTCAGAGAGGGGCTTCTAAATAATGAGCTACACTAAAGTGACTGGAAAGGATAATAGAAATCAGACAGACAGAGAAACAAACAAGCTCTGAGTTCTGACAGTAGTTCTTGAAAGGATTGGGATGGGCAGGGTAAACATGTGGCCATCAATATATTTGTAAAGTTCTAGTTCTTAAACTCGTAAGCAGTGGATGAAAAAGTATTTGTTTCATTAATCTATATTTCTGTGTGCCTGAAATATTTAGAAATTTTAAAAAATAGACTCACCGATCAATTACAATCTCTTTCTGCCTTAGAAGTCCTTCCTTTATTTTCAGCACTGATTCCCACTTACTGAAATCCTGAAAGCCAGAAGGTGAGTAACTTTGACGAGATGATCCATTCAAAACCTGCACAAACATGTTTACATTATTAGGATACTGAAAGTATCTAAAGGTAATATTTACATATCATATATTTTCCCAACGATTTTCATTAAAAAATAGAGTTGTGTTTGTTTGTTGTACCTTTCTTTTTTATATATATATTTTTTAAGCTCCCACTTATTAGTGAGGACATGTAGTATTTCTCTTTCTGACAAGATTATTTCATTTAACATAATTTTCTCTAAGATCATCCATGTTGCTATGAACAGCAGTATTTCATTCTTTTTTAACGGCAGAGTAGCATTCATTGTGTATATATATACCACATTTTCCTTATCCAGTCATTCGTCGATGGACATGTAGGTTGGTTCCATATCTTGGCTATTGTAAATAGAGTTATGATAAATATGGGAGTACATGTATCCCTTTGACATGATTTCCATTCCTTTGGTATAGTATATACCCAGCAGTGGGATTGCTGGACTGTATGGCAGTTCTATCTGTAGTTGTTTGAGGAACCCCCATACTGTTTTAAATAACACTGTGAACACTAAGAATTTCAAGAAAGTTCCAAAGTACATGTACAAGTCTAATGAAAAACTGATGACAATAGGACATTTAATCTGGCTAATTATAATACTACATATAAAACCTTATTCTCATTACCTTGTGGAAGTAGAAGCTTTCTGGAAATTAGAGATTAATCATTGCCCAAGGAAGGAGTACAATAAAGGAATGTACTATGGCTCAACTAGACAAACATTATGAGGAGGGTTTCCAGGAAATGAAAGCAATGTATGTAGCATGCAGACTTCAAATTTTCATATATATTTAATTACATTAAAATTTCAAAAATCACAAATATTTTCACAGTCATAAATATATCCATAGAAAATATGACTATTAAGCAGATTATTTGGATGATTACTGGTATCTAGTCTAAATTTTATCATTTAGAAAAAAATCTGCTTATAATTTAAGAAAAAATTCAGATATTTAAACTAAATCAACAACAATAAATACCAATATAGCATATATCTTCAAATTTCTGCCACTGAAACAACAAACTTTTTTAAAATATTGGCGTCATGGGCTCAATTCTGTTGCCTCAAAATGGTATGTTGATATCCTAACCCCTAGTACCTTAGGAAGTGACCTTATTTGGAAATAGTCTTTGCAGATGTAAGTCAAGTTAAGATGAGATTATCAGGGTGAGCACTAATCCAATAGGACTGGTGGCCTTAAACAAAGGGGAAATTTGGACCCCTAATCCAATATGACTGGTGGCCTTAAAGAAAGGGGAAATTTGGACCCCTACACAGAAGGAAGACTATGTGACATACAGAGAGAATGCCATGTTAAGACGAAAGCAGAGATTCAAGTGTTTCATCTACAAGTCAAGGAATGTAAAAGATTTCCAGTAAAGTACCAAAAGCTAGGAGAGAGGCAGGGGACAGATTCTTCTTCACAGCCCTCAAAAGGAACCAACTTTTCCAACACCTTGATTTCCAACTTGATTTCTAACTTCCAGAACTGTGAGACAATGAGTTTCTGTTGAGAAATTTATTGTTTCACAGATCTGGAAGTTAGAAAGCCACCTAGTTTCTGGTACTTTGTTATGGCAGCTCTAGGAACCTAATATATCTCGTAAATCAAATAAGAACATAAGCTCCTCTGCAAGCTAAATGATGCTGTATAAACACCACAAAGCAACCTTAGAAGAATTCAAATGTGCAGTACTATTTGTATCCTTTGTTTTCCAAAGATGCTACTGACAAGGCCTACTTCTGAGTAAACTATTAACTGTGTGACATCAACCAGTCCTAGATTAACACTTTAAATCAAAATGATTGTCAAGTAATATTAGGATGGGATGTTTCATACAGAAGGATACACAGGATCAAATGAATAGACTCAGAATAGAAATCAGTTGATAACAGGATACATAACTTTGTCTGACAGGGAGATATTTTGCATATAAGTGACACATAGTGTTATAGGAGCAGGTTAATCAGAGATCTTGCCTCTGAATGAAATTCTTTGCCTGACTACAACTAAGCCTAATATTCAGCCAGCATGCACCAGTACAAATACGTTAGTTGTTACAATACTTAAGTACTTTCACTGTGGTTGATAACTAACTGCTGTCGAATTCCCCTGTCTTCTCCACTGCCCAGGCCACTCCCCAGAACACCTCATAATCCAACAAATAAAGAGTTATGTCCTGGCATAAAAAGGGAACTTCAGGACCCTGCTCCATCCATAAATGTCATCCTTTTTGACTAACTGGTTCTTGTACAAGTCAGTCCTCCAAAATCCTACTATTTGAACACTACCTACCCTCTTATATTTAGTTGACAGAGCAAGGATTCAAGACCAGGCAACCCAACAAAGGAGAACCTGCTCTTAAGCACCACGCTGTTACATGCTTCTACCATGGCCTAATTAATTTAGGTATTGCAAATTTCCTATACGCACAAGGGCTAGAAAAAAATTTTAAAGCAATTGCTCTTAGAAACTAAGAGAGAATTCACCACTATGGACAATATTGTTGACAGTAAGAGAAACCATCTACTTACTGAAACTCCACATTACCTAATGACAATCAATTTAACAGCTAAGTCATTTGATACGATTTCTTTTGTCAAACTGTGCCTCAAACAAATTTATTAAAGCTTGTAAAAGCTAAGCAAAACAAAAGTATATCAGCAATTCAAAACTCAAATACTTAGAATGATGTGATGAACCATTTGTACTATAACATACTAATATTTCATTTATTTGTAGACTAAAAATGAATATATATTTTATTTATATACTGAATTATATATTAATTTCAATCCTAATACCAGTTGACATATATTTTAAGTACTAGTTTTTGTATACTGTTATCACACCTAACAAAAAACTTGTAAGGTAGCTCAAGGATTTATGACCTCCTCTTCCAAAGATATAAAAAAGGTTCCTCCATTTCCGATTACCACACACTGGAAATGATCTATACCATATTATTTCAAGCTATATTTCACCTAATATATCTTGTACCTATTTAAGACAATTACCTAGACAATAGATGATGTCTTCTCAGGAAGGTATTAATACTACTTTACTCTTCACAAGTCATCTGGCTAAAAAATTTTCCGGTGGCTGACAAATCCCTTAAGGAGAAGCCTTTTCTTGTTTTTTTCATTTTTAAAGAAACACTGCTTGACATAAATGAAAAGAGGGATTAAACAGAAGGAACAAGTAGATCAGCAAGAGAAAGGGAAGTGAGAACAGTACTTGGTTTTATAGCACTTGAATCAATGGCAGGATGGACTGCTAAAGCTCTGGCCAAATAGTTCCATGAATATATGGAAAACAAAACATAAGAATTTATTCTTCTGATTTGTAACTCCCTTGATCTAAACCCTTTAAAAATCAAATGAATAATATTAAGCCATGAAATTGAGCAAACAGGAATAAAGAAAAAGGATGCCTTTCCCTGTAATTAATAATATACAATATACAAAGAATTACCAGATCAGCCGCTATCTTCCTCATGATAGTATTCCTTGCTAAACTTAAACCCTCATTCAAAAAATAGTTAAAAGAGAATAAAACCTCACACATAGCCAAATGCTGCAGACAGACTTAAAAGTAATTTTTTAAACCTGTACATAACTACCTATCTATCAAAATGACAGTTATGGAGACATTTTATCTTCTAAGGAGAATAACTTTTCTAATGAGACCACAGTCTATACTATATTAAATGAAGTCACAGGATGCAATCTGATGTACCCAGCAAAACTCAAAAACAAAAATTCATGTTGTGAAGTCTCAAATAGCAAAGCAGCTATCGTACTTTTATGGTTTTGCATACAATATAAAGAACTGTTACATTACAAAAGACATATGAGAAACAATTGATGAAAATTTATAGCAGTTCAGGCTCCAATCTTGAAAGAGTTAAAAGAGAATCTGATAGAAATAATATAGAATCATTTTACACTGAATTTGGAAAAAATCAGATATCCACCCTGGAACTATTTATCTTTTGAAAGTTCTAACACAGGGGCTGAAGAGTGAGAAGGAAATAGATATGTTCAAATTGGTTCTTTCTCACATTTCCACATTACAATCTTACAGAGAGGTTATTCTTCAAAAACTGCCAATTTAATGGTCAGCAGATGTTAAAAATTTTCTCCCCTTATTTATAAAACAAAAATTGTTTTCATTAATCACATATTTGGTAGGCTAATGAGAACATATAAAATCTTACTAGTATCAAGTATCTGTTAGGTTCCAAGTATTACATCCAAAAGCAGCAAGAAGAGAGAAAAGCTTTTTCCCTTTGACAATGACACATTACAAACCTTGAATATGTATACATAAATATACACTTTAAAGTTCCAGATTAGCTTTGGCACGTTAACAAATGTGGAAAAGGAAGATATCTAAGTGCCATTGCCTTAACACACTCGCACTAAAAATTACTGAAAATTAAGTCCAATATAAAAGCTAATGTTTTTGTTCGTTTGTTTTGTTGTGGAACAGTTACTCTCGCTTGCAGACTATGTCCTTCCACAGTACTGGCTAACATGAACAAAATAATAGCAGAGTGGCAGTATCACTCTTGGATATAATAAAATGCAGGCCAAGAAAAAAAAATTCGTAGATGAAAATAGAGTTTTATATTAGTTAAAAGTAAAATTCACCAAGAAAATAATCACAAATTTTTACCATTTAATAGTATATCTCATCTGTGAACAGTGACAATTTGACTTCGTCTCTTCCAATTTGGATGCCCTTTATTTCCTTCTCTTGCCTGATTGCTCTTCTAATACTATGTTGAACAGGAGTAATGAGAGTGGGCATCCTTGTCTTGTTCCTATTCTCAAAGCAAAAGCTTTCATTTTTTTCCCCACTCAGGATGATGCTGGTGGTGGGTCTGTCTCTTATGGCTTTTATTGTGTTGAGATACGTCCCTTTTATATCTAATTTGTTGAGAGTCTTTATCATGAAGGGATGCTGAATTTCAT